CCCCCCCCCCCACACACACACAAGCCTAACTTCACCTTTTTAACAAAGAACTGTTGGTGGATTTGTGAGTTTTGAAGGGGTTAATAAAAAAGCGAGAGAAACTTGTTGCTCTGTGGATCCTGAATTTTTACAAAGTGAAACATCATCATTTTCATCCAGTTCCTCTCTCCCTGAAGAATGGATGGTTTGATTTCACACTTTTCATTGTTGTCCCTAACATAAAATAGATTTATGAATTTTTCTATATGAGTTTTAACTTGTTTACATCGACCAACACAAATAGAATAAGTTTGGTCTGGATTGTGTTTCCTCTGATGTGGCTGTTCATTTCAAACATGGAGGGCTTCTTTAAGCAACATAATTTAATGTTTATTTTGTTAAATACATTTTGACGACAGCTTTTAAGAAAAGAGCTGCATCAGGGTGAAGATATAATAGTTTGATAAATGATCCTGTTTCATTATGACTCGTTTTTCATCAGGAGTGTTGCAGAAGAATTTCCATCTTATTATATTTGTCAGAAAAAAAAATATCATCATCTTTTTTTACCTTTTATTTTTCTTGTTTTCAGGTGCCAGTTGGAGGGAAAGGCAGGTTTACTTAGTCAATCACAACTGGTGAGTTACTTTAATTCTTCCCCAACTTCTCAACTTCTGATCCACTAAAAATCAGCAGCATAAACTCGTGACTCCCGTCTGTCTTTCATTAAAGCAGAGATCTTCTACCCTGCTCCTGGCGACTGCTCAATCTCTGAGTTTGTTCACACATTCAAAGAATCAGAAACCAAAGTTCACCATCAGAGACGTGTTGGTTTTTTTCTTTGATGAGTAAGAGGAGTAGCCTTTGACTGATTTATATCTCACAGGGGGGGCTCATAACAGCTCCAGCCCACCTACAGCACTTTGTACCAGCCTATAGCTGCTCGCTGTAATTCAAATCTGCTGCTGGAGATCTGTGGGCTCTGGCTCAGTTCTGTGGCACCAAGGTCCTCTATTTAAAACGTTCACCGTGACCTTGTTTCCCAGTATAAAGAGGGTCCCAGACTCCTGGGATGGCTGTCGTGTTTTCGAGTCACACCGTTAGCAGGGTGCCACCTGGACCGTCCAACGGCGTGCGGAGCGCCTCGGAGCTGTCAGGCATACATACCAGAGTGCAGCTGCTTGATTTTCACATTAAAACCGAGCGCTGGGGAGGATTACTAACTGTCTGAGAAACATAACAGGGTAGATCACCCAGCTTATTCTCTCACTAATGGTTAAAGCTGGAACTGAGCCTCCATAACCATGAAGATTGACTCTGAATTAAAACAGAATCACTAAAAAAATAACTTGGACTGATTTTGACATATTGCAGCAGACGTTTCTGTTTCTTCTACTGTAAGTCTGACATTAGGTTCTCAGTACTAGAGCAGGAGTGCTGAGTGTCACACTTAGGCCTAAATAGTGATGCTAGTTTGTAGCCTCACAGCTTCTTTATTAGATCTGGACAGCTGAGCAATGGAGTAAAGGGCAAACAACCAAGTTATAATTATAAAGACTCTTGTTTCATTGTTGACTGCAACATCTCCAAATCTGTCCCTCTGGTCAGAGCTTTACAGAAACATAAAGGATGATAAATAAAGACACTTATAAAGAAGTGAAGCTGTAAAAGTGTTCATCAGCAGCTAAAATCCCTGCATTTCAAAAGGTTTAGTTTCAGTTTTGTTCAAACATGGGGTTATTTTAACAGACTATGAATAGCGAATATCTTACATGTTGCTGATGGCTGTTTAACTAGCCTCACTTTGGAAGAATAGTGTTTAATTCTAACTGGATTAAGAAGCTAACAGCTAGTCTGAGAGGAGCTAATTCCATAGCAAACTGCTTCCATTTTAAAAACAACTTGAATCTCTAAAACTTTTAGGAATTTCACATGATTTTTATGTTGAACCTTTACATCACCATGATGTTTTCATTCCAGATTATAAGATTGTTGACAAATTTCCACAGAACCCACTTTCGGATGAGCCATTTAACGTGGCAATATGAGGATGCTTTAACTAATGGACCTTTGGTTTCTGTTCACAGGTGTAAGCAGCTAACGGGTGACACCATCAAGATTTACCTGACTAATCAAGATTACAGCTATCATATGTGCAGCTTTGGCCTTTTTTATCACTTCTGTATTTCATTGTAGCTTACATCAGAATGAGGAGTCACACGTCACTGTAGTCTATTAGAGCTTAGTCTTCTTGTAATAATTTTCCTCAAAATATGAAAGGTTCTCATACAGCTACAACTCTCTGTGCCCGGACCAAGAACAGCTGACCCTGCCGGTGTTCAAACGTGAATGTTCCTTTAAATGATGTCACTGAACTGTCACGAAGAACTTGAAGGTTAAGGTTGCTACGTTTATTTCAAAAGAAGAAAGATGTGTATTCTCGCTGACATAGCTGTGAAATGTTCTTTTTCACTTGGATATTTTTTATTCTGAAGAAAAACAGTGGTGAGAACTCCTGCCGCTGCAGAGGACGTCGTGCGCAAACAGAAACAACAGACAGATTAGGTTTACTTTTGGTCGATGGAAGAGTTAAGGAAGATGTTACATTTCTGTTGTTAGCTAAGAAGAAGCGCTAATCTGCTCATTTTTATCATAAGATATCAACTCTGTTTCTGACAGGCAGTGCAGGAACATGTTCTTACACTGCCCAGCCAAGGTGTACTCCCTCATGGATGGCAAAGTCACAGAGAGCCGCCTGTGTCTCCACGCTGTCTCCTTTGTGCACAGAATTGTGCAATCTCCTTCTTTTAGTTTGTTGACTGTCTTTGTAAGGGTGTCTTCACACTTTATACGTTGGGTCCACTTTAAACAAACAAGAGTTTGTTTCCCATGTTGTCCCGGACCTTTTATCCTTTTATGCAGATATTAATGCATTCATGTGAACCCGGTCCTCTTCCAAACCAACTCTGGTGCGGTTCTCTTCTGATGTGAATACAGATTGACCTCGAACTGAACCAATTACAGAAAATGTGCACTTTTTTGGATTCCACAAGTCACCATTGCTAAGCATCATGGAAACAATTAGTTTGTCAGTGTTGCTAATGCTAACACTCCGCTACAAACAATGAGCCGTTGTGGGTCAGGGCACGCAGAGCATCTCATCTCGTTTGGGTTGCTTCATGCATTTGTCAACGCCGTCCCAAAACTGGAAGTATATCATTGCAAAGCCACATTTGAATGAGCTGCTCTTGAAATTCTAAACGGCATAACGGCACCAGCTTTCTTTCTGGGTCTGTGATATGTCCCGCCCTCGTCATTTCTGTCAAAATGGAGCAACGACCGTCACCCTCGTGGCTTTGTTTAGAAATTATAGTTCACTTGCACCAAAAACAATCATGTCTGCTTTTGGCCCGGACCAAACAAGTGGACCAAAGGACTTTCCTGGTGTGAATACACCCTAAGTTTTGCAGTTGTAAAGACGGCTGTGTTTTCCAACAACCTGGACCAGCTGCTCCTCAGCTGAGCAGTAAAGGTGAAACAAGAGCAATCAACTTCATCCACTTTCTGCATAAACACACCCATGAAGTTCTGACTACCCACACAACAGTTCTGTCAGAAGCTTTTGTGTGAAGAATCAAAGCGAAGAACAAAGACACAATTTTTGTCAAGCAACTACGTCAGCGAGAAAAACGTTCACTTCTGATTGAGTATAAATTCAGCTTTAGCACCCATGACATTAGAATACACCTGATTTCACCTTTTGAAATTGTTCACTCTGTCAAATCACACAGTAAATGTGTTTTTGTGTTATTTGCTGCTGTAATGTGAACAACACAATGATCTAGAGCTCAGTTGATATACATGTAGCTACGGGGGAAACCGTTTTGTAGTGATTATAAAGAAATAATTCATTAGAACAGAAAATAGGCTTTGTGTTTTTACATGAGTCTATCTCTAATTGTACTTTTCTTTTTATCTTCTTGTTTATTATAAAAATATATTGTTTGAAGATTTTTAATGCAAAAAAAGCTACAGCGTTTTACAAAAAAGTAACAGAGCATAATTCTTAAGCAGTTGAACCAGCAGCTTTAGTGCGTCATTGAAGCCTGTTTGTTATTTTTAGATAATTTTCCACCTTTCAGCATCAGTTTGACACATGTCTTTTTTTTTTTTTTTTTTGTATGCGATGTCATTCATCTGCAGGTTGAGAGTTGAGCTTGTATATAAATAATTTTTGTTTTGTATCAATCAAAGTTTAAACCATTTCTTGCTATGGTGTTTTTTTAGCAGAAAATTGAAACCTTTAAACAAATGCTTTCAAATGATGCTTAGCTTTTATGTTGGGGTTAAATGAAATGGGGAAAATGAAGTGGAAAGCATGTTAAACATTAGTCCTACTAAACATCAGCCTTTGCAATAATAACATGAAGAGTGAATGGCTACATATTAAAGAAAAACACAGAACAGCTTTATAAATCAATCTTTGTTTCTGTTTCCCAACCATTAAATTTGAAGAGCGTCTCCACCAACGTTATTTAAACTAGGTTGATTAATAGCTACAAACCCAATGAAAAACTCAGTAAGTACTAGTTATACCTAAAGTTTATAAATATATACAGTACATTAGTAGCAATATTTATTATTTTTTTTGGAAAAGACATTTTTAATATGACATCCCAAACACCACAAGTCACGTTCAGAAGAAGATTTCAGTGCCTGTATCGGATAACAGATAAAGAACGAAATTGTGCAACATTTCTGAGTTTATTGCTGTCTTGTGGCAGTTGAACCCAGTTTTTTTTAAATAAACCCTAACTTAGGCTTTGACTGCAAAAAAAAATGTAGGCTCTGTTTAAGAGGCAGATAATGGATGCATCAGTGATCAGCACCATATCAGGATGGATCCGTTTGTCTTTGAGCCTGTAATTAAAACTGAAAAAAAAAAAAAAAACTTTACTAAAATGTATTGTGTGTCTTTTGTTTGAGCTGTTTGACATTATTGGCTTTAGCAATAAAAAAACTATGAGGGAAAATATTGTTTTTTGTTGATTCTTTCATTTTTACTTCTGAAATGAAAAGTCACTCCTCCTTAATCATCCATGGAATTATAGACAAATACATTTGTAGAAATATAATATTTCAGCAGTGTATAAATGTACCTGCAGAATGTGTACCAGTGTGTGTGTGTTTGTGTGTGTGTGTGTGTGTGTGTGTTTGAAGCAGTGCTCAGATATCTTAACAATAGCCCGATCAGCTGTAGGCTGCTGCAGTTACATGAGACCCGAGGGTTGGACTTTGTCTCCTTGTTAATCAGAGAACTGAAGTCTACAACTGGATTCTGAGCTCCTGGGTCACAGGTAAGAATGGTCTTATATAAAAATAATGATGATTAATCAAACATGAACTAAATAATACAATAAAAATATTAGATTTTTGTAGTTTATCTAAAGCAAAGAAAAACATATCTCAGTCTGTTTTGCAGGTGTTTTGTTGCTACTAAACATTTTTCTTTAAGTTTGGTGAAAAACAATGGTTTGATACGAAAACAAAAACAATAAATTATAAGTAATAATGTCAACCAAGTTGTTGCTGAAGAACTGTATTCGAGTGTAACACATGTCCAAGATCAAAATTTACTAAGAAAAGTACTTTTAACAATAAACCCCGAAATTTTTAAAAGGGAATTCTACGGTAATATATTTTATTACTTTTAAATCTATCTACTCCAGCTGCTGCTAATTTACCATAATTAATACATTCTTCATAAAATTTTGCATTAAGTTACTTGCACTGTATTTATTACTGAGTGGCTGTTATCAAGCTTCTAAAATGTTTTTTTAATTGAATCACAAATTTATAATCTATGTGCTTTTAAACATATCGTACCATAAAAGGTTACAGTTACGATTCTTTACTGTAAAAATTACAAAGATCGCAATTTACTGTCGCTACATTTTTCACGGTGAACTGCTGGCAACAACAGCTGCCAGTGACACACAACTTTTAGTTCAGTTTTCTTTTTTTTTTTAAAATCAGTGTTCTTTTGTTACTCTGAGAATTTTCTTTTTATTTTCTTACAACTTTAACAAATATTACTGCTTTAGGATGTATGTGCCGCCCCCCCAAAAAAGAAAAAAGTACAGAAATACTTTGCCACAACACTAAATAAAATATTGTTTCGTTTTAAATTTAAAACGAAACAATATTTTATTTAGTTTTTCGTTTAAAATTTTGCTATTTTTTTTTTGTTTAGCTCCTAAAATATAATACAATTTAATTTATTTGGTACTAAATGCGCTTGTGATTCAGTCAGTACATTGTTAAATAAAAATACTTCTGTAAATAGTATCCTGTGACCAGGGTTTTATATCTGAACCACCTGTTTTTGTATTTTTATTTTCTGTGTGAACTGCTGCCATCTCTGCTGTGCTGTTTAATGAGCACAACTATTTCAGAGTGTAAATATAGTCTGATGGGACTCCATTCCACAGAGATCAACCTGAACTAAATGTCTGACACAGAGGAAGTAACGGGAGAAGAAGTCGAGTATGTAATCAGTTTTATTTTTCTTTCTTCATAAATAAATAATGAAATAACTGGCTTTTCAACAACATGTAACTGATGCTGTGAATGTGCAGAAATAAAAATGTGTTTTGATGCCTTTTCTTTGGGTTTATTCTCCTCTGCAGGGAGGGAGAAGGTAAGAAAATTACATTTTTTTAAGATTTTCCTATAAAAAAACCCTTTTAGCAGCCATGTAAGAGGAGGCAACAATCAACACAAAGCTAAGATATAAAACACAGATCACGGAGCATCAAGCTCAGTTGCTTTTTAATGTTTTTGTCTGTTTTTTGCTTGATTTGATTGTTTTCAGAGTTTGTATTTTTTATGGTTTAGCTTCTGTTCCTCTGCATTTCCCTGTCCCATCACTTAATGGTTCCCAGTACTCAGTTCAGATCCTGTTCTTCAGTCCTGCCATGCCTACTCACACCTGTTCCCTGTCTTATTGAGCTCAGCTGTCACTCAGCTGGGATATCTTTGGGTAGACATTTTTTAATCCTTTTTTTTTTTTCAAAGTTACATCTTTAAACACACAGCAACATGAATCCAACATGTATTGATAAATGGAGCCATAATGTATTTCAGTCAGAAATGCATATTTTCAGTGAGCACACCAGCTTCCCAGCCTGACCCTCCATGCATTCTACACACAAGGAGAAGGACCCACACATATTTGTACTGGGCAGGTCACTCTGTCAGTTCAGAGCCTGTTATTAGAGTAAAACATCAGTAGATGTAGAAGTTTCAGAATGACACTAAAAGCAGAATTTATTTGCATGCTCTTTCTGTTTCAAATCATTTCACTAAATGTCTACAGGTTCTAATCAAAGCTGCAACAGTGTCAGATTATTTCTTTTAAATAATAACAACAACAATAACAACAATAGCAATATGACAGTAACTGTCCTGAACTCCATTCTAGCTTTATTGACTACACAGCAGGGATTTTTGAAGTCAGTGAAGACAACCAAACCATATTTTATCAAACATTTGTTGCCATATAAATGAGGTTCTCTTTAAAATACAGTATATGGAAGTATGTCGTGAATGAATGCATGTGGAGCACTGCCATGCAAGTCTATGTTAGGGGTGACTTTTAACAAAAACTACACTGAATTTTTGCCCAATATTTATAAAACATTAATTACTTACAGCCTTTTATATTTGCTTAGGTTGATTAGCTGTGGTGGCCATCTTGAATCAGATTGATTTCAAATGTTAATCAGCTACATTTCCATTCAACGGTTAGTTTTTGAGCCTTTCATTAAAACCCACCATGAAATATTTTGCTAACACACACACATATCATGGCTTTGTATCTTCACAGGGACATTTTGTTGATTTCAATTCATTTTTGGTTTATTTCTATAGCTTAACCCTGATTTTTACCGTAAACCCCCATCCCAAAAACTATATTTGAACTTGTGGGGACAGGGCTTTGGGTCCAGAGCAGTAGGTCCTCAGAAGGTAGCGTATTTTCAAAAAATGGGTCTTACAAGTTGGCAAATGCTACTCAAACACACACAGGTAATAACAAGATTTCACTCTTCAAACTGTCCTGTTGTTTACTTTTTATGCGTTTTTGTGGCCAATGTGCAATATTACACTGAATTTCTGTAGTTTTTGTAAGTTTTACAGGCTATTTCTGTTACAAAAATCCATTTTTTTCTGTGAGATTTCATCACATTTAAAAACATTCCTAATATTCTTTATCAATAGGTCTGTGAAAGCTTGTTTTACATAAGCAGAACTCAAAATCCAAGATGTCACAAGTTGAACTAGAAAAAAGCTTCAACTTTCACTGGAAGTTTTTATTAGGTTGGATCTGGAACTGTCAGGTGATGGGGTCAGAGCTGTAGTAAAGGTGTATCTCTCTGAAAGTGTCCAGGTGATGGACTTCATAACAGTAAAGGTTTTTCTCTACTGTTTCTTAATGATGACAACTATTTTTCTCTGCAGACGATACCAAATCAAAGCCCAAGTAAGAGTTCCGTCACTTCACCTTCTGCTCCCGTAAGCACACAATTTTCAACAATTTGTTTTCAACACCTGCAGGTTTATGACAAACATCTCCGTCCCAAAGCTGCCCGATGGTGAAAAGGTGGACTTTGATGTGAGTTCAGTGTCCTTGGGGCCTCAGTATGTATGGGGGTGCCGTTTATGCTTGGATCAATTTGTTTGAAGGTCACACACGTGACTCTGAGCTGCGTTTCTGACGGCAGGACATCTACAGGAAGCGTCAGGAGAAGGACCTGGCTGAGCTGCAGTCGTTGATCGAAGCTCACTTCATCCAGAGGAAGAAGGATGAAGAGGAGCTCGTCACGCTCGTCAACAGAATTGTGAGCCAGTCCGTCTCAAAGGAGTCGCTGCGTCCGTGTGTTTGGATCTGAGAATAAACTCTGAGACGTTGGTTGGTTTGTCTGCAGGAGAAGCGTCGAGCTGAGAGAGACGAGCAGCAGAGAATCAGAGCAGAGAGAGAGAAGGAGAGGCAGGCCAGACTTGCAGTGAGACCTCAAATCACACCACTGATTTCCTGTTTATTTCTTCCATTTTTTTGTAATCAAAGTACTTCTACTTTGTTCTATTTGAACTATAACTTTAAGCATTTTTATTTTTACATATATATTTTTTTAAATATTTAACTTTTGAAACCAAATTTCCCCCATAGACATGCATCGAAACCTCATATTCCTTTGTGACATTGTTGTATTTCAGCACCTGTGCTTGTTTACTTCTTCTCTGCTTAGCTCTTAGCTACTATCCAGCTAATTTTAGCTTTAAACTATAATTTATCTCATTTTAGCTTTTAGCAACTACTTCACATTTAGGTTCAAGCTGCTCAGCTCATTTTAGCTTTTATCTGCTTTGCTAGTTTTTACTTTAAGCTACAATTTCAGTTGATTTTGCTTTCATTTACAACAGTTTTACTAATTTGTAATTTTTGGTATTGTTTCGCTAAGTTAAGGTATTGGCCACCTTCCTGCCCAATTAAGATTTTAGCTTTGGTTTGCTTGTTTAGGCTTTTAGTTCCTAATTTTCTCATTTTAATTTTTATCTTTTGCATTAATTTAAAACTTTAGCTTGATTTTCACAATTTTTGCTAAACTGTTTTACTTTTTTTAAGTTTTAGCTACGGTTTTGCTAATGTAAGTTTTTAGATAATTTTTTAATTTTGCTAAGTTATGATATAACTACCATCCTGCCCAAATATGAGGTCAATAACTTAATGTGTAAAACATACTTGAGATGAGAACTGAAATTTCTAATTTCTATAACTTTTTGCTATAGTTTTTTAATTTTAGATTTTATTTTAGCTACAGTTTTGCCAATGTTCGCTTTTGTTCTGATGGTTTAAACTTTTAAAAGATGGTTATTTCATTCTATAAGAAATTTCATCAGTCAGCTCTCAGCGTTGAAGCTACATTTTTGTTAAACTGGGATTTCCTCCTGGTGTTAAAGCAGCTGTTGCTCCTCACACAGGAGGAGAAGGAGAGGAAGGAGCAGGAGGAGCAGAGGAAGAAGCAGGATGAAGATGCCAAGAAGAAGAAGGTCCTCACAAACATGAGCCAACAGTACACAGCCGGACAAAGGGTGAGTTCACAATCTCTAGTAAAAACGTACGAAAATTTAAACCATTTGAGCAAAAAGCACTGAAAAACAAACAAAAAAATCTTTTTCATTTAATAGTGATTAGAAACTGTTTATCCAGCTTGAGGCTGATTCAAATTTAATTTAAATTTCAAACATAAAAATAATGTTTTAAAAATATCACTTTTCAGAACTTTTTATTTATTTATACAAAAAGGCATGACATGAAATCAAAAATACATTTGAAGCTTGGAAATAGAGATATATTACTTTTACTCATGTAAATTAAATTATTTTTAGTCTATTATAGCCACTTTACGAAACTTGTGCTTTATTAAATGTGTTCATCTTCTCTTTGCAAAAGAAACTAACTTTAAAACCTGTCAGAAATAAGTTATTTGTTGCTTTTGGTTTAATGCAGACCGATACCAGGAAAGGAAAGAAACAAACGGAGAGGGAGAAGAAGAAGAAGGCTCTGGCTGAACGCAAGAAGCCTCTCACCGTGGATCATCTGAACGAGGACAAACTCAAGTATGTTTTTCACATTAAATAGCAACCTCCTACTTGTAAAAATGTACAGAAATGACCCCTGGCCTCTGATGTAACCAATAATGAAGATCTGTCTCGGCTCAGGGAGAAGGCCAAGGAGCTGTGGGAGTGGTTGAGGGGGCTGGAGGCTGAGAAGTACGACCTCGGAGAGAAACTAAGACGACAGAAATATGATGTGAGTCAGACATCCTGGTTTGCATTACAGTGAAACCAGACAAGAGCATCATGTATTAAAGTGATGGTTTGGATCAGAATTAAACTTTAATTCTCCAAAATGAGTTTGCTCAAAGATCCATCTACAACACGTAAGATATTATTTGTTCAGAACCTCCTCTCAAAAGATGAACTATTTAAAACATTGTTTTTAGAATGAATACATTTTTGCACCAAAATACCTCTCTAGCTTTGAGGGTCAAAATAAAAACTCCTTTGTGCTTTCATGATATCATGTCTGATAGAAATGTTTTTGTTCCTGCAGATAAACCAGCTGATCAATCGAGTTCAGGACCACCAGACGTAAGTGTCCGTAAAAATTAAAACCCTAGGCTGAATTAGTCTATTTTAGCTGCTTTCAGACATCTGGGCCTGTATTTGTCAAATTTATTAGAATTACTCTTAAGAATGCTGTTAAGAATGTACAAAAAAATTGTGTAAAAAAATTCTTCACTAAAAGCTGAGCCTGAAAGTCAGTTATCAAGTGTCTCAATCTCACTTTAAGCGAAGTGTAGGAGTAAATTGTCAGTCTTAGCTGATTTACGACACTTTGTTGTGCCGCAAAGCTGATCCTGGATGACGTCTTTACAAAACCCCCGGCATGGACTAATCACTGCATCGGATTTCATGTTCAATAAAATTCTGAATAATGTCACGATAAAACTGAAAATCCATAAGTTCACATTCGACACGGTAATGTTCATGTCACATTGTATGCTACTGATTGAGAGTATCACTGGACCACTCAGCAGCAGTCCAGTCCTTTTTGTCTTTATTCCAGTCGAGACGCTTCTGACTCTCTCGTTCAAGAGTGGCTCGACACAAGGAGTGCGACAGCTGAAACCCATGTCTTGTCTGTGTGGTGGTTCTTGAAGCTCTGACTCCAGCTGCAGTCCACTCTTTGTGAATCTCCCCCCACATTTTTGAATGGGTTTTGTTTCACAGTCCTCTCCAGAGTGCAGTCAACGCTTGTACACATTTTTTCTACCACATCTTTTCCTTCCCTTCGCCTCTCTATTGGACACAGAGCTCTGCGAAGAGTCAGACTCTTTAGCAATGACCTTTTGTGTTTTGCCCTCCTTGTGCAAGGTGTCAGTGGTCGTCTTTTGGACAACTGTCAAGTCAGATTGGTCTGAAGGTCATTGGTGCCTGTCTCACCAGCCATGAACTTCACCGCAAGTCACTGCAGCTGATAGTTTAATATTCTGTCCAAAGGTCGCACAGAAATATCCAACTTTTTGTTCAACATTACGGCACTGGTAATTGGTTTTTTCTCCCCTTCTTTCTTTTGTATTGATGACTAAACATGTTTTCCACACCTTATTTTAGTTCCTCTGTATGTTATAAGAATCACACTCAGATGGGGGACCCCCAGACCACTTAGAGCAGTTTCTGAGGTGGTGCAGCAGAGTATTCTTGAGGACACAGCTGTGATTTCTATCTTCTCAGTCCATCTCAGACCACTAGTGGCAACTCTTAACCACTTAAGAGTCCTCTGGAGCAGGGAGAGCACAACTCTTCCTCGCTCCAGGCAAGGAGGGTGATCTGGTGAGATACCTCACTCATGTTTCAGAGAACCGGGGTTAATTCCTTAACCTAAAGTCCTCTTTCAACATTCATTTCGGTATCTCACTATGGGATATGGCTACTCCCGTACTGCCAGATAAGCTTACTCGAAGACCAACAGATGTATCCTGCAGTTATTCGGACTTGGATCCTACACCCAGAACTGTGTGAGCCAGTGTGGGTGCTGTCACATCCAGTCTATGGAACCTAGTGAAGGTGTGAGGGGTTGCCCAACAGGCAGCATCACAAATCTCCTCCATAGGTATACCCTGAAACAACGCCCAGGATGAGGCCATACCATGAGTAGAGTAAGCTCGCAGACCTGCACAGGGTGCAAGTCCTCTAGACTCATAAGCCATAGTAATAGCCCGACTATCCAATGTGAAAGGCGCTGCTTCGTCAGGGGTTTTCCCTTGTGTGGTGGACACCAAGACACAAACAGCTTTTCCGATTTGCGAAAAGCTGCGGTTTTCTCCAAATAGATCCGCAGGGCATGTACAGGGCAGAGCCTATGTAGCCGTTCATGCTCTTGAGAGGAGAATGGTGGTGGGTAAAAAAGCCATTAACTCAAGGGGACGACATGGTAGAGAGAGTAAGAGTGATACTAGACTTGAGAATTTTGATAATTTGCTTTTCCACTTTAGTCTGAGAGTAGGAGGAAATCTAAGCAATTTTTAGCACTTAAGTCTATAATTCTACTCTAGTTTGATAAATACTGGCTCTGTTCTCATCACTTCCTGTTAGATTTTACATTTCCCCACTCGTCATGCGTTGAAACAAATTTTAAAACCTGAAGTAGCTTTGACTACGTAGCTTAAACAAAACCTTTTTAAAGTGATTGTAAGTAGAGAAATAAACCTAAAGCAGGGTTCCTACAGTTTAAAGCAAGTTAAATTTAAGACTTTTTAATGTCAAGTGAAATTAAATTTAAGACTAATTTCATAATAAACACAAATGGAAAAAAATGAATAAAAACTGTGGCAGAAACTCGTGAATCAAAGTATTATTGGTTGAAGTATTCAAATATTGCTAATAGACCAACTGTTTTTATCCATATCGAACTATAGCAGAAACCTTCTTAGCTGTCAGTTTTAACCTTAATTTAATTTCAGGAAAACCTCTAACAACCCAAATTCTGGAGTTTTAGGACCCACAGTGGGGTCTGTACCCCAATTTGCTGTAGATGAAACCTTAGTGTATGTGACATCAAATGTTTGTAAGAAAAGTGAATGCATTTTTGGAAAGACATTATTAACATATTACAAAATGAATTTCACATTGCTCAGATGAACAGTTGAGATATTTGCATGTGAAGTAACAGGAAGTGATGTCAAAGGGGAATGTCTGCATGTGAGTATTTGAATAAATTTTTTTTCCAATTATTTTAATATTTGAGATGAATTACAGTCATCCTATTAACAATGTGTTAACATTTTTAAGACTTCTGAAAGATTGATTTAAGACATTTTAAGGCTAAATAAGGCCTTATTTTTGGATCAATGAATTCAATGCCTTTTAAGACTTTTTAAAGGACCTGCAGGAACCCTGCTAAACGGAACAAGGGAAATGTAATTACTGTACTAAAAGTAAAGCTCAATATCTTTGCCCTTTTTAACATTGTTAGTTTATTTCCACATCATCATGTTTGAAGCCATTTGATTTGCAGCCCTGAACCCTGTGATTACTGTCTGCTTTCAGGGCCAAAGGTCGTGGTAAGGGTAAGATGAGCGGCCGGCTGAGGTAAAGCTGCTGCGAGACGGGAGGCGAGGCAGACCGTCGCACCAAGAACTGCTCCTCATGTCTACAGTTCATGTGTTCATGATCTTGTTGTTCATGTCAACCATCATGAGATTCAAACAATAAATAAGCTCTTTCCTCTGATGTGTTTGTTAACAGACTCTTTTCAGTTTTATGGGAGAATAACACTGATACAAAAATTCACGTTGAACATCAACGGCTGCCTATGACTGAGCTTTGTTCCATGACTAATACAAAAATAATACTATTATTAACAGAAAACAATAATGGGTACATTTCTAGAATGAAAATGTCAAATTACCCACAATCCTTAAAAAATACTTTGATAGAAAACCTTATTTCCCACCATTTAATTAAGAGGATCTACATATTTATTATGGTGTCATTTCTAGCTTAAATCCAAATCTACAATAAGAACTGACATTCTTCAGAGAGGCTATTTTTATGATTTTAATTAAATTAAGAAAAATATGACGTGGACCAGAACCAAGAGTTTGCTGATAAGGTGTGTTCTTCATTACAACCAGTCCTGTATGTTCTGTACAATAAAACTTTAATATGATTTCAACATATCCACAGCAGTGCATGTTCATGTCTCTACAGTCTGAAGAGCTGTAGGACTCAGGGGGTGTGCATGCTCATCAGAGATGATGTGTGGTCCTGGAGGAATGAAAACCACTCAGTCCTTCACCACATGTGAGTTTCTCTGATCTCTGCGATCACCTGGCTGGCTTTCTGCAGTGCCTGAACACAGAGATGAAAACAGGTATTACAAACTTATTCCAGACATTAAAAACATTCTACAACAGAACATTTGAGGCTCAGTCAGGTCCATCAATATTTGGGACATCGACACCATCCTCGTCTTTCATACTCTTCTCTTCCCATCTCTTTGGCACAAGCTGATGTTTGTCTCCAAAGGTTGTTGTCCCAGAGCTGAAATGTGGCCTTCCTATTCTTGAGGCTCACTAATGGTTTACATCTTGTGGTGAACCTCTGTATTCACACTGCTCTTCTCTTGATTGTTATTGTTATTATTAAAAATCAAGCCTGACTCAGCATAATTGCTGTTTTACAGCAGGTTCCTGTTCTGCAGCACATAAAACACTCAGAATTACAGCATCACAATCACATCATTATTATTATACCATAGACACAAAGACAAACAAGCATACCAAATTTCAAAAAGGCGGCATTTGTAAAATAGGACGTCTAAATATGAGAACAACAAAAAATGTCCAGCAGATGGCAGACAAGATTCTTCTTAAAGGGCTGTAGTTTTGAAATGGACTTTATGTTT